TGAAATATTAACTGTATCTGGATAATCACCTCAATGGGGAAGAACTTTGATTTTGTTTTGCCAATGTTAATACAAGGGAAGTCACCAGAATATTGAAGGTGCATCTTCTTATGCTTAACAAAATAATCATAGGCTGTCACTTGCACCTCTTGATTATCATTTTTTCTTCCTTCATTCCTTAGCAAAAACCTTGCAAGCAATTGAATCGTTGCAATGAAGCCAATGCCAGAATCTGAAAGCAAAGAGGAGGTGGATATAAATCATACTAACCTCTGCTGCTTACATACGTGTTCACTCACTCCGGTGATTCTACTCTCTCTATTAGATGGGAAAATTTTTATCTTCAAATTCTTCAGCACACGTCTAGCCTGCAGAAAAGCAAAATGATATCAAGCCCTATCATTTTCATAGTATGACCTGGTTACAGGAATCACCTCCATCTTCTTGAAACATAATACCTTTGACCAATCGATGCAAGATGTATTTTTGACATTCTGGTTGGCAACTAGAAAATCAAGCACAGGACCAGGTTTTAGAATTGTGGTCAGGGATGTATCTGCATTAAAGACAGAATTATTAGAATGTTATGCATGTGATTATTAGTCCTAAAAATGCTTAAATTTTAAAACCACATTTTCAAAGAATTTGATGAAAAATTAGATAGAAAACTTGTTAGAGAAAGGAGGAAGGGAGGAAGCTTACCCATGTTAAGAGTCAATCCATTCTGAGTAGGACAAAAACTTGAGTGAAGACCTTTCCATACAAAGACACCCCCTCCAATATCAGTGAAGTTCTTTGGATCGTCATGATAATATGATTGTTTGACAATAAGACAGCCCCTACGAGAAGTTTAAGCCATCGGTTTCAATACATGTAATAGACATTAGGCCAAAAAATAAAGGGAAACGACTTGAAAATAGATTTCAATACTCACTTTTTTGCAGCATGTTGCCTTAGGACAACATCTAGCACCTTGATGACTTCATGAACTTTCTCAGAATGTCTTCCACGTAGCATGTCAGTAATAGCACCATTGGATATTTTCCTACATACTTCATCACTACTCTGAATGTCCTTGTCTGAAACACGCACTTTTGCCTCTTTCCACTACCTTGAGTAAGGCTTCCGCTTCCATTAAAGCTGCTATTATCACCATTACTACGTATATGGAAAAAAAATCATCAACAAAGTTAGGTTTCACATATCATATATCATCAGGAATTCGATTTACTCAACAAGAAATATTTGCTACCTTATTAATGAATCTTGTCCAAAACAACAGTGAAGTCCAGCTCTTTCCTTGGAAGGGCACCCCACACGAATAAAGATTTCTCACCATCATAAGCAAAGTCCTTTCCAGCCAGATCAAGATTATAAATTTCACGGATTTTGTCCATTATTGTCCTTCCAGTACCTTTCCCTTCAGCAGGTTGGCCATCTTTGTTATAAATCGAAACCTTTATTTTGTAGAAGAGAGTGAGGAAATAAAATTGAATGAGAAACTATACATAAAAATTACATTTTTAGAAGATTATGGAAGCATTAGATGAGTATAAAGAAAAATGAGACATACAGAGTAGTGAAGAAGTAGTCTGCAGAATTAGCAAGCTCTACTCTGAAGTGATTAGTACAAAGTGATATTTTTTGGCCTTTTACTCCAAATCCAGGCCTTGACATAGGAGTTCGTACTCGATTGTGATCAGAACCAGAAGCATTCGAATCCATTTTCCTCTTTACCTAAGTATACACCAAATTACCAGAATCACAATGTTAAAAGATGATGAAGTCTAATAAAAAAATGCTCATGATCAGCCTGAGCTTCAACCAGCCCCAATGAATTTTTACAAAACCTTTATAATATAATATCAGGAACCATTGTACCAACTAGCTTCATTAATCATTATACACAATGAACTAACAAGTAGGTGCCCTGAGAAGCAGACATACAAGATACTAAATCAAATCTACTTTAGTAATAAGGTTTTGCATGAAGATAAAAGCTAATACCATCATTATATTTGCTCACCTAAGGTTTAATAAGTTTTGATATTTGTTCACCTAAGGTTTCATAAGTTTTGATATGTTCAGATAAGTCCAGGCCAGTTTTGTTCACCTTATTTCAGAAAAGAAACAAAAGCAAACAAACAAACAAACAAAAAACACATAAGCTCAAAAGATGGCAATATATATAGGTTCATATGAGTTAGGAACTTTTTTTTAATAATGGTCAATAAGAGCTACTTAAGTTCAATTTACAATTAAAATAAGTTCGTATAAGATCAACTAAGTTTAATTAAGTTCAAATAAGTGGAAATACCAGGTGAATAAAACACATCCCTCATACGAATGAAAATTAAATTAATTAAATGTATCTTAAGTTTTGATTAGTTCAGGTAAGAGCATAAATATCAAAGAAGATATATGTCCTCTTGTATGGGGTTTTTGCTGATTTGGAGTAGTCCTCTTTGATGTTGGGTAATGTAGAGAATCCTCGGGGAAGAGGATTCTCAACAATCCTCATCTGGTGAAGGATTGAGCACCTCGTCCTTTGTGCCAAGAGGACAGCCAAAACCCACCGTTTGCTAAACAATTCTCAACAAACAACCACGATTTGCTAAATTAAAAAAAAAAAAACGAAAAACTCTTTGACACACCCAAAAACATCAAAATAGCAAAGCATGGAGTAACGGCTACATTATTAAATTGGCCTACTATTGGTTGACAAGTGTCAAGCTTTTATTTGTTTTTTTGTTACATAATTTTACTAGCTCAAAAAAATAACGGTAACATATTTAAAAAAACTGATTTTACCAACGGTTGTATTTTTTTTTTCTTTATAAAATGAACCTAATTTTGGCCATTTTTTATGCACTTCAATTTTTCATCTTTTTTCACTCCTTCCTCTCTTTCCTCTCTTTTTATAATTTTCTTTTGTAATGGATGAAAATAATCATAATTATGGAAGAAATATGAATTTTTCAAATAATCCAAATCCTCAATACAATTGTTATGGCGTGTATTATCATGCACAATATGATCATGGAAGATGAGCGCGATAGTTATCTTAACTATTGGGATCCTAATGAGTTTGCTACTGAGCAACCCGAGTATTTGGCGTGAACTTCAAATCGAAGAGCAACGACTTTCACCGTAACCCCGCGCTACCAAAATCCTAATCTAACCACATTAATGGCAAAACCAGAAAATCTCCATGATAAACAAACTCATATGTCACTTAAACAAGAATTGGTAGAACATTTGTGGGCAAGATTTGGGCATACTAGTAATCGGTAAGGAAAAAGGAGGATAATTAGTTATTTGTCTTTAATTTCTTGTATTTGTTTTACTTTAGTGTATCAATTAGTGTTTTTATTCCTAATTTCATGTGTTATTGTATCAAAATATTGGTAAAGTATGGTAATTTTTATTATGTATGCTAATTATCGAATCCTAATTATTATTATTATTATTATTATTAGACCTTATCATTTAAGAAATCAATAAAAAATAATCTTTCACAAAGATAAAATTCGAAGGTGGGGCCATATTTATAGTATAAAATATATTAAGAGGATACCATTTGATGTGGGAAAAATAAATAGAAGAGAGAAAAGAGATAGTGGGAAATGAGACGGATGAAAGAGAGTATGAGGTGTCAAAATAGGGTAAGGAGAGAGAATGTTTGAGAGGACAAAGCCATCCTCCTTGATATTTATGCTCTAAGGCAAATAGAACACACCTTGATTAGTTCCCTCTATCACTAAAAATAAGCTCATTGTCAAATAGCAGAAATCATTTCCAATTGTTAAAAACAATTTCAATAGTTTTATTTAGTTAAAATAATGTCAACTAAATAAAATTTGAGTGAAAAGAATAGGAATTCCTCTTCTAACCTACTTAAAACTCCAATCCACTCACAAAAAAAAAAAAAAACAAAAAAAAAAAAAGGAAAAAAAGAAGCTCTTTTAATTCAACAAGAGAGAAATAGCAAATTTTTACCTTTAGAGCTTTTTATTGTCCAAATTGAAATGGGCACTTTTAGATTGCTGTAAGAATATCAAATCAACCCTCCTTGATCCCTGACAAACAAAACAAAACAACAAGAAATGATCAAGCATTATATATTATCAAAGCCAAAATAATTAAAAAAAAAAATGAAAATTCAATTTGAAGAGATTAAGACAAACCTTAATCAAAATTAACCAAAGATTGCATGCAATGAAGCTTCTTGAATTTCACAAGTAACCCTTTTTTAATTTTTTGGGAGGAAGTAGGAGTAAGACTATGAATTTATATTGCATGCTAACATAATCTGAAAAAATTGAAAATTTATAGGTATTTTTTAATGATAAATGGGTGAATTTTTCAGCCATTAGATAAAAATGAAGAATTGTACCACCCTAAGCTGGCAAATTTCTGAAGATTATTCTCTTTGATGAAGGAAGGAGGTGTTGTTGGGCGTGGGAGTGGGAAAAGAACAGAGGAACAAGGAGGGAGAAATGATGGTACATTGGTATCATTGTGTGTGTCTTGGTAAAAATAAACTATTAACTCAATTTCGGGTCCGTTCAAGTCAAGTACGGGGTTTTTGTCAATTACCGTTACAGAATATGATAATTTTAAATACGATTTAATTAATCGGGTACGAGTCAGTTTTGTCTCAGAAAGTATCGGAAGACTGAAAATATACTCTCTTGTATGCTTTTTGTATTGGTTACCCGGTAGAAGTCAATTTTGTTGTGTGTGTAAATTCACTCTTGGACATATGGTGTCAATAAAGTTACTAGCAATTCATTCTTGGTTTCTTGCTAGTTTCTTTTCTTTTTTTTTTCATAATATATACTCAAGTTATATGATTTAAAATTTCAACCTTGCTTAAGAGCAATATATAGATGAGCTTTGAATGCCTTCTAATTGTGCCATAACTCATTCTTCTCACTTAAGGTACACAATTGTTATATTTTGTAAAGATCATTAAAGTATAGAACCGAGAAAAGTAGTGATGTAGAAGGTAATCGATCTCATGTCTTAAGTACCACCTTGAGACTTTACCAAGCAAACACACATTACTACAATAGTCCATTACGCACACTGACACTGGTAACTTGTAAGACACTTCTATAAACTCGACGTAAAATGGTGATAATGAAATGCAAGATAAATTATAATTACGGAAAGCTAACAGCAATCCCATTTACATAGATACATGGGGAACAAATGCATCAAGTTGAACAAGTACAAAGTTTGCTGAATTTTTAGTCACCTTCAGCTTCAACTTTGTGTTAGAATTTGTTTCAAGATGCCTTACAGTAACTTCATAATCCCCATGAAGCAACACAACTTCAGAAATTCCTTGGCCATTGGCAGAAATCTCCAATGGTCTCGAGCTTGAAAACTCCGCGATAAGCTTATCAACGACATCTCCGTTGGGTGTGTTGTTGAAGTTTTGATCAGTCAAGCACATCTTGCATTCGCTGCTGAATGGTGAAGTTGGCCATATCACAATCCCTTCAACAGCAGGATGTGAATATCCCTCCCTTAAAACATCCTCCAGATACTCTGCCTGCTTATAATTTTCGAGCAAAATAGTCACAGAAAAATGTTAAAAATTGTACAAGCAGTACTTCAACCTCTAGAAATATATGTAACCTTTCCTAATATAATATGTATTGGGTTTGGCTCGGTTTTGATCAATTTATTTTTCATCTTTGGGTTTCAACTTACAAGTCCTTGGGCTCAATTTCAACTCTACTGTCAATTGGTGTATAATGATAAATCAAACAATATTTCTTATTTTGAGTTCATGTAAGTCGGGTTAACTTTGTTTTGGTTCAAAGTCAGGTGATGTGATTTCGATATTTAGTTGGATAATCGAATACAGGTTAGTTTGGCTAGATTTACCTCCAAGTATATACTGTATAAAACAAGCACTAGTTCTTGAAGTAGTATGCTTTGTAACAAGTAAAAAATTGATAATACCTGATTTTCCCCTTTGTCAACAAAGAGTTCAGTAAGCCATAGAGGGAATTTCATTGAAGCTAAGTAGTCCATTCCTGCTCTCATGTAAGCAATGTTGGGCTGACCGGTGCCGAACCTTGACTGCACCCCTATTCCCATAGGCAATATATCATTAGTACCACTCCTTTCTCTATAATATGATTGAGTGTTCTTCAGCTTTCTAGCATATTTTGCTGGTATTGAATTTTCGTCTTGGCTAAGCTCTATCGTGTTATACTCGTTCATGAACAAAATCGGTTTTTGATCAAGCTCATATGTTCTAGCATAAACCTCTGCTGAAGCATTTTCTCCAAGCTTATTCTCATAGAAGCTAAAATGCAAGTTCTCATTCACAACATCCCAATGGATCAATCTCCCTTTGTACCTTAATACAACAGATTTCGTCCTGTTTTCAGCTGCATCTTTCAACTCTTGTGGGCTAGTTTCATTGTTTATCCAAGTGGGTTGGTATCTTGGATCATCCCAAATGATGTTGTGACCTCGAACATCAATGTTGTTCTGCTCACAAAATTGTAGCATGGCATCAGGTATGGTATAGTCTTCCTGCCCTCGTGTTTTTTCTGTGAAGTACCATTTCATTTCGTTCCCAAAAGCAGTGACTGAAAATCTCGAGGCAAACCAATCTTGATATATCTTGCTGTTTAGGATTTTCTGGTTTATTTCACATCCTGTAGGGAAACCTGATTTTATTTGCTTCAGAGTAATCTTTGCTCCTGCTACTGAAGTGTTATCTTTATTTGTCACATGTAATTTCACCTTACTCTTCCTCACCTACATAAACGACGATTAATTATGCTTAAATTCACATAGTAACGTACCATATAACTGTCATAATGTCGGTGTCATTTACCTTTGCAATGGTCTTTTCTTGCTGTGATTTCCATTGCTTCTTGGTAAAAGGTTGTAAAGAGACATTATCTACCCAGATTTCATCCACTGTATTCTTAGTCTGCATATACAAACATTGAGAAGTTTGAGAAAGTAGACAAATAAGAAACAAACATAGGCCTCCTTCCAAATAAGAATTCATGCTATAACTTTCCCTGAGAAAAACATTGCACCGATCAGAATATACCTCAAAAGTTAAATCAACTGGACCTGAAAAAGCTGCAACTATCCCACCTTTCAACATGCTCCAGCATCCTTGCTCTGCTATCACTGTACCTCCATGGAGGTAATTTCCACCAGGACTTCTAAATTTTACCGATATAATTTCACTGCCTTGGCTTATTTGAATCCATGCTGTAAAATCCAGTGAAATAAAATCATCAAAGATTATATTATGATCAGCTACTATATGTTATTACTCATATTTGGTTTCAAATTGTTGCCAAGTCCTTCTCAAGGCAAGTTCTAAAGTTGGAAAAGGAGTAAGAAGCTATAAATAACCTGAAAAGGCATAAATTTTTCCTTTTTGTAGCTGAACTCTCTGAGAAAGGCTATCAGATGGCTGAGTTCTGTTCAGAGCCGCGATGAACTTGTTCCCATCTTTTGTTATTCTTTCTTCAAGCTTCCCCTGACCAAACACAGTCCATCCTTCGATACCATTACTGAACTCTGGATTTTGTATGATTCCTCCACCATATTGAACCTTCCAGGCTTCCTCCAAACACTTCAAAATGGCATAGCAACAAATGAAATTATGTATCATAACAAGAATGTACGTAGTAAGCAACATTTTAATTTTACTTATCGGTTTTCAACATAGCTACATATCAAAGAACCATTTTTTACAGGTACATATTTGTAAACAAGCTTTAATTTCAATCAAGTTAAGTACCTCTGTAGTTGCTGAATAGTCATATGACAAAGCTTGTAGGGTATCACCTGCATCAGTTGAACAAAGAAGTTTTAGAAAATATAACATGCAAACTTTGTAACATCTACATACTAAGATATTTAGCAACATGTTTTTTTTCAAGTACTGCAACTATCTTGGGAATATCACGTATTCGCATTCCTACAAGTGTAATCTTTAATAAACAGAGCTAAAATGAGAAGAAGAGATGATCAGGAGAGGAAGAGAGACCTAGATACAGTAGAAAGCATGCATGCCATAATAAGAAACTGATCTTCATTTCATGGGAGATTCAGGAAATGAAATATATTCTAAATTTGAAGGCCTAGCTACCGTTATTATAGCAAGTGTTCTCGGCTTAGAGAATGTTTGAATCTTTAAATAGTAAGCAGTAGGATGTCTCAGAATCTGTACAAAGAAGTAAATTGTAGATTACAGCAAGAGAAGTTGATTTTAAAGTTGAAGGGACAAAAACTTCACCAACCTATATGGCCCACAGAAGAGTTCTTGAAAACTTACAAGCAAAATGTATAAGATGTGACAATGACATTATGGTCATCTTTCATTGCTTTAATCCTGGGATTTTCTTGTCATCTTGGCTCACACTTTTCTAATGACCTTTTTCATGGTCGTCAGCCTGCATGGCTGCGATGATAGGTGGATTTGGGAATTGGTTTACTTCAATACTAACAGGTGCATTTGACATGGCAGCTCCTTTTGTAGTTTCAATTTACTCAACAACTCAGCACTCAGCAGCAGTGCTGGGATTTGAGCTTATCTCAGCAAGACAAGCCTGAAATTGAAATAATCTGTCATAATTATTGTTTCAGTTCTGAATGTATTCAATCGAAAATAGTAGCTTCGATCTTTTTCAATCTCCAACTGTTCATAGACGAACAGTCTCAAGGGGAAGGTACAGAACAAATGAAAACTGAGCATGACCAAGACTCAAGTCCTGTAATATAACTTACTTATGTTCCATTCTGAAAACAGAAATCTGTATAGCATATTCATCCAAAAATAATGGAACATTAATTTGCACAAGTTGCACTTATTATCTAATATACGGTGCTTAATTTGACAACTTTAACTGGGTGCTTAATTTGACAACTTTAACTGTGTGATATCTGCACTCATACCATTGTATTCTCGCTGTTTGCTTGTTAAAAGTAATAAAAACAGCTTTATCTGTCTTTTTTTTTTTTTTTTTGGGTATTTGGAGGATAGGAGGATCAGAAGTGTGGATGAATTTCCACGCAGAGGTAAAACATAGGAAATGCGTATATGAAGATGACCGAACATTGACAAGTGCCCTTTGACAACATTCTACAATTTCCATGATTCGGATTGCTTTCTTTTGAAACCGAGGCTTCTCTAATTCCGTACCAAGAAAAAACATCTGCAAGTATAGCCTTCTCATTCCATATTTAGCAAATTATAGGAAGACCCGAGGCATGGAGAAATTTCCATATAGAGGTAAAACATAGGAAATGCCCCTATGCAAAGATAACCCAATGTTGACAAATTGACACTTGACAGAATTCTACAATTTACATAATCCAGATTACTTTTCTTTTGAAGCTGAGACACCTCTCGTTCCATATCTAGCAAAAACGTCTGCAAGTTTAGCCTTCTCCTTGACTTTTAACCTGTATTATGGACAAACAATATGTCAAAATTGGATATACAATCAGATCCAAACATTGATGCAAACATTTCCAACATGTTAGCTAAACGCTCATGCAAAAAACCATAGCTTACTTCTTTGCAGATCCTGGAAGACGTTGCTTTGGCTTCTTCTCTAGCTTTAGGTTCGGATGATTCTTATCTGTCTTTTGGTTTGGCTTCTTGTCTGGTTTCTTTTTAACCTCTGACTTCTTTTTAGGTGACTTTTCATTTAACGAAGCACGTGCCAGCAATTTTGCTTCTAGCATTTCTACTTGTTTTAAGCGTTCACTAGCACTTAATTGGAGCAAGTCCCCTAAAACATTTTTGCTGTCAAGGGCCTTGATGCCTTTAACTAATTCTTCATACACATAATCATCATCATCCCTAAATTGCAACGAAGTGTCAACTTGCTCAACATCATCATCTTCATCTTCTTCCTCCTCCGAGACAAGGAAGTTTCCTTCAGAAGTGCTGTTGTATCCATCATCTGATGACCCTTCATAACTTCCATCAAGCGGCTTTAAAATTTCACACTTTATAGGCTTCTCAGACTTACCAAAAGAAATGTTTTGGCCTGAGAACATCTGAATGAACCTGTTGTAACAGAAGACTCCATTTAACTCACAATATTAATATAATGATCCAGAGAACAGTTGTAAGTGATCAAATTGCCACAGAAAAGAGTATCATCAGAGTTTTATATGCTCCCCTTTTACTATCACATAGAGTCAAGAAACAATTATTTTCAAACAGAATTAAAGTAAGAATCCTGCAAAACAAATGGGTTGCTTTCTCTCAGAGAGAAGGAAAAACAGATACCTGTTTGCATCCGCCAGAGACTTGAAATCCACATAGGCAAGGCCTTTGCAGACAGGATCCCTTGTCTTTTTGTTTCCAGAGTTCACCGGTGATATCTTAATAATACCAGAAACTCCTTCAAAGGCAGACTTTAGATCTCTGTGGATATTCCTTTTCTTAGGAAGGTTGCTGATACGAACACGAATCCCACCAGGAACACCTTCAGCAGCTGTAGACATTTCAGGTAATGCATCTTATGATAAATCCCACAATTCTTCAATCTTTTAATCTAATATATTGAATATACAACCCATTGCACAGACAATATGATCAACAAAGCACTGTGAGCAGATTAGGAATTGCAAAAGGATATGCATGAAGAATTCAGATTCACTCATCACATCTTCGGAAGCGTCTGCTATAGACGTTTACCATCTATTTCAGGAAAAGTGAGCATAATAAAAAGACAAAGAGAAAGGTTTTTTAACGAGTTTTTGTGGAACACTACCATTTTCCTTCTATGCAACAAAATATGATCCATCAAGGCAATGGTTTGAAATCAATGTTCAAACTATCTAGTTGACTCCCTCACTGAATTCTGACCTAAAAGTTATAAGCTTATAGTTCCTGATATAGTCAAGGAGGATAAGCAAAGTGGAGAGGAGGATAAGTTGTTGGGTTGCCAGAGTTGAAAAATACCATGCAGCAAAGTGGAGAGCAAGAGTACAAGACATATGTAGTATAAATCATACAAGTATTAGATATTAGTCATATTACTTTATCAGATATCAAAGTAGCCAAAGTCACAAAAACTAAACTCATGTATTTCTATTTATTCTTGGGAGAAAGGCATTCTACTGTTGCAATATTTACTAAGCAGCAGTGCCATAAACGACTTAATAATGAGCAATTAGACACGGGTTCTGATTTCTGTAATTTCACTGCAAAAAGAAAGTTGGACCTTCTTAAGATATCAAAGTTTGTTCTGAATTCCAAATCTCGAAAGACACAGTTTTGCTCGAAACCACCTAAAATAAAGGATAAAGGCAAACAACTAAGCGGGCATATTTGCATCATAAAAGGGACATCTAGTCATCTATTACAAACAAATCACGGTGTCCATCCTACATCCGACTGTAAATTGTACCCTCTCACAGCCTCCTCGACATGTGTTCTTTACCTCTTTATTAAAATTCATGTTGTCTATCAAACACATATATCTATTTGTTCCCCATTAATAACTGAAAAGCTCAATAAATTCAAAAGCAACAAAATATTTTCAACCAACTTTATTTCTAGCAAATTCAAGCATCCAATTTCTAAATCTTGGTATGATACACTCCCTAAATCTACAAACAACAAACATAAGAAATCATGCCAGTTAGTCAAAACAGCACATTCTATAAATTGCAAAAAAAATATAACACTAAAGGACTTTGTTCAAGGAAATGGTCATTTATGGACCAAACCTACATAGTTGAACGATTATGCCTAATTCTACATCCAATTATGAGTTAACCATGGGTCATTCTTGCTAAATAAGGCTACGAAAAATCAGGATAATAAACGAAAACCGAGCAAAACAATAAACACCCAAAGATGAGAGAGATTACACACACCATTGAACAACACCTCCGGGGGGTCATTCTTGGGTTTAGGCTTGTTGCCCTCATTCTTAAGCTTGTTGATATTAGATAACTGGGCTTTGAAACTTTGCTCAATTTCTTCAAGTAACTTATCTTCAACAGAAGTATCATACACTTTCCCTTCACCAAACCCTCTTGGTTTATTCTCAAGCCATTCATTCATCTTATCATAAGTAACCATCAATTCATCATCATCGTCAAATTCTTCATCATCAAATTCATCCTCTTCTTCTTCCTCGTCATCAAAAACATCATCCTCATCAAAATCAAACCCATCTTCATCTTCAATTTCTCCTTCATTCTCTACCAATTGGGTAGCACCCAAGTTTGGATTTTTATCCTTATTTTGGGCAAATAAGCAAAACCCAGTTCGACCCTGATAATAAAATGCAGAAAAATTAAAAGGGCAATTTCCAAATTCGTTCAATTAAACATATAACAAATTGGGGAAGTTCAATACTAACCGAAAATGATGAAGATAATGATAATGAAGAGTAATTGGGGAGTGATTCTGGAAAAAGAGGAAGATTAGCAGTTTGATGTTGGAAGATGAGAGAGAAGAAGCTGGTGGGTTTCTTCAGAAGAAGCGGTGGCGCTGACGGCGGCGGAAGCTTTCCTACAGCCTGCATCGTCGAGGATTGGGCGTTGAATGGGTGATATACTACTCTACTCTTACTAAGCTTGTTCTGTGCTCTATCTACAAGATTGCGCAACTCTATACTTATGAAGGGGAAGGGAAATACGAGTCTTTTTGTCAATATTTTTTAAGTTTATAATTATGTAAGAAAAAAGTTAACCAAATGATGATAACATGCTAGGAAAAAAATAAAAATAAAATAATATTAGGGGGGGGGGGGGTGTTAGATCGATAGAGTCGGCAGAACCTAGTCATAAACCTCATAGGTCATTATTTGATGAAAGGGCTGACTCGGCAATTAAATGTTGGTGTCTCCATGAAAAGACTTCTAGCAAATTTGATATTAAACTTAAGATGACATTCTAAAATATAGGTAATTGAATTAGTAGGGGGAAGCAGACTCGGTAGGACCTAGGTGTAGTCCTCATAGGTCATCATTTGATGAAAGGGCGTGAACAATGTCAAATGTAATGGAGGTGTCTCAATGAAAAAGAATTCTAACCATTTGATACTAAACTTAAAATGACATGCTAAAATATAGATAATTGAATCAGTACTCATAATTTTTATTTTCGAAAGATGCCTTGAATAATATAATCCTCCGATAAATGTTTTGTTTAAGAAGGTTAATTAATATCAAATATTGCATGGTTTATTGTTTAAGATTGTGCTATATGAACATGTGAATAATACACAACCTAATTTAAGTAAATGAGGTTGTTGAAGTATTAAAAAATTACAAAAGAAAGATAGCGAGCTTAATAGTTTTAAGCAATTTAATTGTTTGGATATTTTTTAGAAAACTGAGATTATTTTTACTAAATTAAAATTTTTACTGATCTAATGTTATTTTTGCTAAATTAAAATTATTTTTACTGATTTTCTATTATATTTCTTCAATTAATGATTTTTACTGAATTGAAAATATTTCTAATGAATATTATTTATTTAAGGTGACATGAACAACGGAGGGAGTAAGCATAGGTTGAAAATGATATTTTGACAAATTATTTTCTTATAATTGAATTTCAGTGCTTTTTCTGTGCGGCTGACCACACCTCCTATAATGCATACTCCCTCCGTGCTTTAATAAGTGTTATACTTTGACCGACACATATTTTTGGGCAATATAATTGACTTAAATAAAATAAGAGCCAAGTAGGGTAGTTGGAGTATTAAAATATTGTAAAAGAAAGATAGTGTGGCTAATAGTTTATTGAAAAATAATGAATGTGAGAAGAAAGAAATTTATAACTTTATACTAAAGGCGAACTTTGAGATGACACGTGTCATCTTCTAATTAAAAATTTTCCCGCCTAAATGTTTTATGATTTTTTTTTTTGTTCAAATATTAACTTTTATATTTGACATCAAATTTCTTCCATATATGTTCTACCAATATTATTTTTTCATATCTTTCTTATCATTTTTATTGGGTATTAAAGTAGTAATTTCCTATAAGACTTTAAAATATTCTTTTTTGTCTAATTATATACATATGTTGTACTTTATTTTTTATTTTGAAGAATAAACCAATCAACAATTTTCGGTGAAAAGTAAAATAAATGAAGTTGTAAAGAATCTATATTTTTATAAACATTGCACTTCATTTTTTGTAAATATAACACAAATATGCAAGCCTAAATAATTAATCAAATTAGATAATTATACATAACTATGTACTTTTTTTTTTTTTTTAATATTATAGGAATATTAGATAAAAATATCCATTGACTATAATCATAACATTAGTATAGGTGTACTAATAAAACAAAAAATAAATTCTCCACCATTCACTAAAAAGGAAACAAATAATCAAGTAAATTACCCATGTGCCTATCAAAGTGTAGGATTAAAAGTGTATCACACGGGTATTGACCTTGATTTTATTGTTAATGTAGTGTGTATATAATGAAGTTATTTTATTATGTTCAGTAATGTAATTCATTTTTAAATGTAATTATTGTAGTAATAACTAAATGTTGTAATTCGAAATAAAATTTTGTAAAAATCGTGCAATTGCACGGGACGTATACTAGTTTTAATAAAAAAGTAGTAGTGAGTTTGGGTGGGGACCATGAGAGGAGAGATATTATATTTAAATATAACTTTTTGCTAAAAACAAAAAGTGTAACACTTATTAAAACACGGTCGCATTTACAAGGGTAGAGTAACTTCATGGTGGTTAGCTATATATAATCTTAATAAAAAATTTTAATTAAAGAATAACGAAAAAATTAAATTTACAATTATACCCTTCATTCCTTAGAAGTAACAACATCGCAAAAGATCATTGTCGACTTCCATTGTTGAAGCTTGCAATTTCCACTCAACTTCGCCATTTTTTCTGGGAATCAATCCCACCATTTTTCTCCAGAAAAAGGAAACAATTGATCTGAAACATAGATCCGAAATCAAATATGGTCTTAGTTACAGCAGTTCGTGATTACATCAATCGTATGATACAAGATATCTCCGGCATGAAAGTTCTTATACTCGATTCTTCTACGGTACTTCTAATTTTTCATCTTACCCCTTTTAATTTTAGGGTTCTTGAATTTTAATATGTTATAGTTGGGATTCTATTCATTTGGTTGATTGACGAGGAAATTGGGTTTCAAATGATAATTTTAAAGGGGAAGAATGTGGTTGATATGGTTATTAATTTGGATCATGGGATAACAAAATGTGGGAATTTCTGTATTTTGTTTGTGATGAGCTAGAATTATAGTTATAAAGTTAGTCTGAATTCGAAGGCCGGGTTTTGCAATGATAATTTAGGGGTAAAACAAGGTTGATTTGATGTTAATTTTGATTATTGATGTTTTTTTTTTGGAACTGAATTAACCTATGACTCTAGTATTTTGTTAGTGGTGAGCTAGAATTATAATTCTAAATTTCGAACCCGGTTTCACAAAAGTAATATCCCAAATCCCAAATGTGCTGTGTTATGCTGGCAAAATTATGTCTTTTTAGGGTTTAAATGTGAAAGTCTTGATCAATCAAATGTTGTGCTGTTATAGTTCTTGTCATTGATTTGGAATCTGGTCAAGACTCAAGAGGATTGAAGTTTCTTTGATATGAGGTCATTTATTTTGTTAGGTTTCAATTAGTTATGACTCTTATGAGTAAATAGCTGGAAGAGAGGAAGAATTTATAGCCTATAAACTCGATGTTTCACTAGGTCAGTGTAAAACTTTCCACGTGGGATAGGGGACCTCCACCTCCGAGACGAACTAGCTTAACCTGACTACCATTACTAGAAGCTACAATTCATGCAATTGTGGCTCACCTTGTTAACTACTCATCACGATTTACATTAGGATGATTTGAATTGACAATGTGACAACTGATAACTAAAATTTAGATCTAGGTAGTTATAGGATGCTATAGAGAAGATACAATTTGAGATTATAATATGATCTCATCAACAAACATCTTCATTTTAGTCTTGGGGCTTTTAAAATGATACCATAAGTTATATACGTAGTACGAGAAATTATAGACATCATTAGATTAACTTCAGAGAACAGTCATGATGAAGTCTAAATTATGGAAAATACTAATTCAGTTCTTTTTGAATCCCAAAATCCCTGCGGTCAAGTACATAAAGTAAAAAATTTAACAAAGAAAGTGGGTCAGATTAGGCTAAAGGTCTATGAAAGGTGATCAACAAGGACAACAACAAAAGTTTTCAATTTACTTATCCTTCAATATATTAGTTCGTTGTGACTTACGGAGTACTTTGTGTTATAATCATTTCAAATATGCGTATGCTACAAGGACTCTGTTGGTATTAAATCTGGTCTGTCACTTTGTAAGAGATGTGAGGATTGATGTACTAGTCGACTTTTTAATTTGATTAATGACATAAGCTATATAGAATGCCTTTTTTTTAAAGAATGGTAAAACCACATGCTATTTAGGAAGTAGACATTAAGAATGAAATGAGAATCGAGAACCAATCTTGTCCATCAAAAGTAAAGCACGAGTAAATTGTATTGACTTGAAAAGTAAACATATGTATTTGCAACTATATAATTGATTTTTCAAAAAAACTTTTGTTACCCTAATAATAATCAAATAGTAGCATCACAATAAACTTTTAAATCTCTTTTGGTAAAAATCTGTTTTAGATAAGTTTTCATTCATTGTTTCTAAAAGCTGAGAAGAAGATAGTAAAAGTAAATCAAATCGACTTAAAATTACATGAAACTGATTTAAAAATTATTATAAGAAAGAAAAAGAAAAAAATGGCATCAGTTGGAGAAGTAACAAAATTGTGTAAATGTTATTAATGACACAAGAAGCACCTATATGCTATTTTGTCCGATTATGATGCACTAAGTGCCCGGTTCTTTTATCTTATTTTAGGCTATGGCTCTTTCCAGATCTTAATTCCTATATGCCAATGTTAAGGGGACCTTCTATTACTTTGCATGTGAGGGGTCGGCTTCATTGAGTCATTGATGAGATGCTTATTTTAGAAAGTAGTAGATAAAAAGATCACTTGCTCAGAGTCCTATTTCAAAGTAACATCTACTGGCAAGCCTGTCATTAACTCATTACTTGAACACACCAGAATACGATGCTTTTGTTTTTCTTGACATTATAAAGTTGCTGCAGCGAATTTCGTCATGTTTACTATGTGCCTGAGATTCTGTTTCTATGTCAAACACTCTGGTGCATCCTAGGATACCGCCCTTCCAAAAGTTTTAAAGAAATGATTTGATGTTGTTAATTACTGAGTACTGACAGATATTATGTAAAACTTTTTTTTCAGGTTAGCATTGTAAGTGTCGTCTATAGTCAGTCTGATCTACTGAAGAAGGAAGTATTTTTGGTGGAATTGGTAGACTCCATCTCAATGTCAAAGGAACCCATGTCTCATCTTAAAGCTGTGTACTTCCTTAGACCCACATCAGAAAACATCCAGCACTTGAAGCGTCAGCTTGCTAGCCCTAGATTTGGAGAGTGTCACCTTTGTAGGTTACAATCTTTGAATTTCACTATTTGCTTGAATTCACCAATTTCACTATTTTCAATCGTTTACTTGGAGCTGTATTTTGACTTTTTGAGCATGGAATTGAACATTAATTGTACATTGTGCTGATTTTGCAGTTTTTTCCAACATTCTGAATGACACTCAGATTCACATATTAGCAGATTTAGATGAACATGAAGCTGTGCTGCAAGTTCAGGTATAAAAT